ATGTTGGGACATTATTAGGGGATGACATTTATGATATGGTGAGGGCTTTCTTCAATAGCCACGAGTTTACCAAGTTTATCACTAACTTTAGTGCTAACTACCTAAGAAGAAAGAAGTGAATACATTCTCAGATACGAGGCCAATTAGTTTGCGTAACTTCATCAATAAAGTGTTCTCAAGGGTGATCCATGAAAGGTTAGTTGGCTTGCTTCCTAATCTAATTTCTGATGAGCAGGCTGGGTTTGTGAAAGGAAGAAGCATAGTTGAGAACATTTTGTTAACTCAAGAGATTATTACTGATATTCGGTTGAGAACTAAGGCTGGTCCTAATGTTGTGATAAAGTTATACATGACAAAAGCCTATGATAGAATATCTTGGCTTTTCTTAACTAAAGTGTTGAAGAAAATGGGTTTTAATGAGAGATTCATAGGCTTGGTGTATGGTATTGTGTCTAACAATTGGTATTCTGTGTTGCTCAGTGGTCAGCCGCATGGTTTCTTTAAATCAAGTAGGGGCGTCAAGCAAGGAGATCCTTTGTCTCCTACTCTCTTTATTCTAGCAGCTGAAGCTCTTTCTAGGGGATTGAATTCATTACATAGGAACTTCTATTTTTGTGGATGTGGTATGCCTAAATGGAGTCCCAAATAAATCATCTTGCATATGCAGATGATACCATTATCTTCTCATCCTCAGATGCTACATCTTTACAATTGATTATGGAGGTTTTTGGTGCATACGAGATGGCTTCTGGGCAGCTTATAAATAAGTCCAAGTCTGCCATTTATCTTCACCATTCTGTTGGTGATGAAGTGATTGATAAAGTGCAAAGAATCACAGGAATTGGCAAGCAAGAATTTCCATTCACATATTTAGGATATCCAATATCTTATACTAGGAGGAAGATGGATCATTATCAGGGAGTAATCAATAAAGTGCTGGACAAATTACAATCATGGAAGGGGAAATTATTATCAATAGGAGGAGTTGCAGTTTTGATATCACATGTGTTGCAAAGTATGCCTATTCATTTACTTTCATCAGTAAATCCTCCTGGTTATGTGATCAATAAGCTACATAAGCTCTTTGCTAGATTCTTTTGGAGTAATTCAGTGGATGGGAGAAGTAAGTATTGGGCTTCTTGGGATACATTGTGTTTGCCACAAGAGGAAGGGGGTGTAGGATTTAGATCCTTACACGACATGTCTAAGGCGCTTTTGTAAATTATGGTGGAATTTTAGAACAAAGCCTTCACTATGGAGTGCATTTATGAGCCAAAAATATTGTAAGAAGATGAATGCGATAATTGTACCATGGATATATGGCTCACTTGTTTGGAGGAAGATGCTTGAATGTAGGGATCTCATAGAACACCAAATTGGTTGGCGGTGTCGTCTTTGTTTTGGTTTGAAAATTGGACGGGCCTTAGGGCTTTATATTTTGTGACTCCCCCAGATTTTTGTTATGATGAATCTATTCACAATGTATATGATGTGGCTTCTAATGGTGCATGGGATGTTGCAAAAATCCATCAAATTCTGCCGCAAGATATTGCTTCTCATATCATTGATAATATTGGACCTCTACTAGTTCAAAATGTCCTTGATAAACCAAATTGGATGCTCGAAACAAGGGGGAATTTTCTGTTAAATCAGCATGGGATTTTTAAAGGAAATGGAAAGATCCCTGTAATGCATACAAGAAGATTTGGGTGAAAGGCTTACCATTCAAAATAGCTTTTTTCATGTGGAAACTATGGAAGAATATGCTGCCATTGGATGAATATTTAGAAAGCTGGGCCATCTTATGGCTTCACGATGCTGCCGTTGTGCCAGTCTAGAAGAAGAGACCTTCTATCACCTATTTTTTAGATCATATGGAGCTAACAAAGTTTGGAAGTATTTCTTTCACGGGAAGGAAGTAACATCGAGGGCCTATTGTTGCATTAAGCTATTATTAGATGTTGGAATGCTGAAGTGGTTCCCAGACTTCAACCTATAATGCAGGCTCTCCTATCGATCATAGTTTGGGAACTTTGGAAAAGAAGAAATGGCAACAAATATGGAGATCCAGTGACTATTAACAGAGTGATTTTCTAGATTTCTACAACACTTCAATCACTGGTGAAGGTAAGGGAACCTAGTCTCCTTAAGGTACCTCACAACTGGTCGGAATTGATACATGTGATGGAGAACTATACACCTGCTTTGAAGACTACAAAAGTAATCTGGAAATATCCTGAGCCGGGATGGATTAAGGTGAATACAGACGGGGCTTCAAGGGGTAATCCTGGGAGGAGTTCATATGGTTTTGTGTTGAGGAATGAAGAAGGTGAGGTGATGTATGCATGTGGGAAAGAAATAGATGAAGGAACAAATAATGAGGCTGAAGCTAGAGCAATACTGGAGGCATTAAGATATTGTTTGAATCATGACTATGTGCTTATAGAGTGGCATACTGACCCGATGGTGATGACAAATGTTTTTCAAGGAACATGGACTTGCCCATGGAATATGGAGATATATGTCGAGGAGATCAAGGAGATGATGACTAAAGGCAATATACAGATTTCTCACACGCTTAGGGAGGGTAATCAACTGGCTGATCACTTAGCAAACTTTGCTTTGGAATTTGGCCCTATAGTATGTCGTGAATTCTGTGATTTGGATGTATTGGGGAGAAAGATCGTGAACAATGACAAGTTACAATGGCCATATCTGAGAATCAAAGCCAAAAGGAGATAAATATGGTGTGGATCAAAGGAAAAATGAGGATGAGAAAGGGACTGGACATTTCTGATCAGTAGGGTCGAATCCTAAGGGAGGAGATCATATTGATATTTGTTTATACTAACAATATGCTCTTTTTTGTAGGAAATGTTCATGTGGTCATGCCTTACCATGATCTTCAACTTCAATGGGTGGTATTACTACATTGTACTCATTCCTTTGAAGGAGAAATCATGGTAGGCACAAGCTGGAAAAAGGGAGCAAAGGAGTAGACTGCCCAGTTTTTTGGCATGGGGCAGTGTTGTTTTCTGGCAGCATTTACTGGAAAATATGAAGCTATTGAGAAGTCACTTCTCAGTACATTTTGCTCACAGTCACCCCAAGAATGGTGCCGCACAAAAATCAAAGCAGGACACTACTGGAGAGCACGGGATTTGAAGGGTAAATAGGACCGCATCGTTTAAGATGATTGCAGATGGTTTGCACACAGCTACGGAGAAACTTCATTTGATGCTGCAGCTGAGGACAACCTTGTATTTATAGATGCTGTGACTCAAACAGCAAATACAGGGAGCCTGGCAAAAATCAAGGCTAAAAACCTTGTTTCCCAAGGAAGTCACTCAAAAGATCATTATGTTCGAATCCACATGGAGGAGATCATGATGATCATTTTTTACAGTAACATGGTTTCCTTTTTTGCAGGAGACGTTACTGGAACTATGCCCTATGGTTTGAGGAATTTCTATTTGGTGGTATTAGTACATTGTACTCATTCCAATGGAATGGAATCAAAACTAGGCATAAGCATAGTGGCAAGTAGATTTGGGAGGATATTAGGTGTTATTTTGGATGCCAAAACATTTGGGTGGAGGCTGTTTCTGTTGGAAATTCTGCAGGTGGACAGTAGCTTTTTGGATACTAACTATGACAAATATCTGCTGAATATACGACATGTTACAATGCTATTTTCTTGCGTAGAATCAGCAGACATGCCAGCCATAACAATCATTTGTAAAGACATGAGATGGCTGCTCAGAATACTGACAATGGAACCTTTATGGAATGCACATTGGAATCAAAATTTGAAATTGGCTGATGCAATACAGAGAAATATTACTCTACCCATGCCCTCCTATTTGATACAAATTTAAAGGGTGGTATTAGCAATAGTTGCTCATTCCCTTGAACGAGTAACAATAGGAGGCAAAAGCATCGAAGAATGGATTCTAATGCCCAGCACTATGGTCGACAGGGTAGACATGGGGTTTAGGACCTTAATTCTGGGAACTTTGGGTGTAGTGTTGAACAAAACATCAGTTCATTCTACTATCTACACATCCAAAGACTGGGGTAAAGCATTGGACATCACAGATTACCTCAGAACACCACTTGAACACACGACCAAAAATCACAGAAGCAACAGAGAGTTGCCCAGATTTCTGATCAACTTTTGCTATATCTGGTACTTTTGGCACTCAAAAATGGGACCAATGGTTGCATTGGGGGATTTTTCTACAGTGTATATCATTTTTTCCATATCTCAGGAGTGGTACCAAATATTGACATCAATAGAAGGCAGTTGGAGAGTACGCGACTTACTCATCAAACGGTGTGTGCTCACAATTGTGCAACAATGCAGATCCTTAGGAATGCTACAGAGTGTTGACATTTGGTTAAAAATTACTCATATAGAAGGTTTTCTTGAACATGAGGAAGGTTTTTGGAAAGTGATGAGCAAGGAGCAAAGGCAGAATGGGTACGAATGCAAGAAATACTGGGTAGTGTCTATTTGTTGCAAGAAGTTGAAGCTGCCAGCTCGGACCAAGGCTATAATTTTGGACATTCACTATGCAGGGATAGTTTTTAGTTTCAATGCTTATATTAGATCAAATGTGATATCAGTGTTGAGTTCATTGCTCAATATTGATAATAGGTGTCATGTAATCGTCAAAGTTTATTTCTTTCATCATGTTAGACCTCCTGACACTTTGTATTGTTTTTGAATTTTATATATATAAAAACTAGCCCTAGGCATTGCCTAGTGGATTACTAAAAAAAAGCTACTAAAGTAAATAAGAAGTTATACTACTAAGAAAGACAAACTAAAGAAGTTATGAAATAAACTACGGAAAGTAAGACAAACGAGTATACAAACCGAAGGGAAATGAATATATACATAAGGGAAATGAATATATACATCAAATGAAAGGGAAGAATATATACATAAAAAAAGAGAAAATAAAGGTAAAAGAAATAGAGTATAAGAGTTATTACATGCCAATGTCAATGTCAAATCAATCAAATATACCACCCCCTAAATAAAAATAAGCATTTTCCCCAATGCTTAACAAAAATAAGAACAAGGAAGGGTAGAGAGTTAAGAGAACTCCCTATGTGATCTTAGTCTGCATGGCATCCTCAGCACCCTCGGTCTCCTCTAATTGTATCTCATCATCACCTGGCTGAGGGACAACAGGGTTGCTGAGCATCTGAAGCATCTCCTCAACAGTATGTGCAGTAAGGTCCGGCTCCTCAGACTGGTCGGCTGCTGCCTCTGATGCCTCGGGTACTACTGGTGCTGCTGGGGCTGCTGGTGATGTCTCCATAAGAAGGTCAAAAGGGATATCTCCTACTGATGCAAGCTTGGCTACCTGTTTGCTCAATCTGTCCACTAATTTCTTTGATGCCTGAGATTTCCTCATCTTCTTAACCTGTTTGCCCAAATCCTCAATAGCTTTCCCGTGCGCCACCATTGTAGCCATGATAGTCTTCTAGCTTTCCAGCATCTTCTTCAATGCTTCCTCACTGACAAAGGTACATGTGGTGCTGCTGGGGCAGACGACTGTGCTGCAACATCACTGATATGTTAGACAACTTTTGTAACGACCCGACCGGTCTTTTTGAGCATTTGCACTTCGCTCGGTAGTTTGGGGGCACGAGTAGCTCTGTATGATGTATTAGGACTTGTGTGCAAAATTTGAGTTCATTCCGAGTTAACTTTATATGTTTCGGCGTGAGTATTTGGAAGTCGAAAGTTCGAAAGTTCATTAAGTTTGATTTGAGGTGTGTTTCATCGTTTCGATATTGTTATGTGTGTTTTGAGGCCTCGAGTAGGTCCTTTTTATGATATGGGACTTGTTGGTATATTTCAACGGGGTGCCGAGGGGCTCAGGTGAGTTTCAGATAGGTTTGGGTTGTGTTGCGCTCGTTTTTCTTATGTTTTGACGTCATTTCCTCAAGCATAAATGGTATCACATTGAACAATTGAGCTCCGATTTCTGTTTTGATTGAAGCATTAGATCCGTATCATAATTGCGGAGCCATAACAAAAAGAATCATCAAATTTGGACATTGTAAGGATTTTATGGTCATTTTACTATGAATTGGGTTGCTAGATTTTTCAGATTAATTACGAAATTGCCACTGAATGCGTATTTAAAAATCTACACTATTTTCAAATATTGAAATCAACACATCTCCTTAAATATAAGGTCAAATGGAGTGATTCAAGAGCCTAACTGGACTAGAAGTTCACAAGGAATCCATTGGAGGCATCAAAAGTGAGTTTCGAGATATTTTAGCACAAGAAACTAGGCAGAATAGTGTTAAAATGAGGGTTTTGTGTATTTAACATATTTTGAGTTGGGGAGCTCAGAATTGGGAAATTTTCGAGGCGATTTTTCAGCATATGAATTGGTGTAAGTGTTCTTTACTTGGTTTTGGTTATATTTCGTGAATCTATCTTCGATTTTAGCTTTTGGTTGATGAATTTTAAAGATGAAATTGGGGGTTTTGGCCTAAAATTTCATAACATGAATTTTTGAGTTTTGAAAACCGAATCGGAGTCGAATTTGAGTGAAACTAGTATGGTTGAACTCGTAATTGAATGGGTTAACGGATTTTTTGAGTTTTGTCGAGTTTCAAGGTGTCGGCCCGGAATGGGCTTTTTGGCCGATTTTGGGCTTTTGACTAAAGATTCGACATTTTTCGATTGGGATTGGTTCCTTTAGCATTGTTTGATGTATTTGAGTTGATTTTGATTAGTTTCGATCCGTTCGGAGGTCGGAAAGCTTGTGATGGCATTATTGGAGTATCGCTTGGCTTGCTCGGTGTCGGAATTAGCTTGTTTAAGATAAGTAACTCTTCTAAACTTAGTGCTGAGGGTATGAAACCCTAAATTTATGTGTTATGTGATTGGTGTTAAGGTGATGCACATTCTAGGTGACGGGCGTGCACCTTGTGAATTATGACTCTGTTGTTTCTAGGGCACCGAATAGTGGCCCTATTTTGTTGATATTTGTGTTTTCACCATGTGATAAAGTAAATGAACTGTACATCATGCTAGATATCATGTTTAGGCTTTATGCTGATATTGTTGGGACCCATATTGGTCGTTTCTTACTGCCATCTTAGTGAATTCCTTGATATTTCATACTCAGTCACATCCATGCATTCATGTCATATCTCAATCACAGTTGTTACTTATTGATACATCATATCACTGTTCCGGGTCAGTTTTCATGACATTGTGAGCTTGTGGGTGACACTAGAGAGACTGATGACTGAGTGAGGCCGAGAGCCTGAGTATGAGTGACAGTTATGGGATTGGGCTGCACGTCGCAGCACTTTTTATTGATTATTGAGTAAGGCCGAGGGCCTGATTGATTTATGCCATGATTGACTTGTTATATAACTTGGGCTGTAGGGGCCCCTCTGGAGTCTGCACACCCCCAGTAAGCGCGGTTGATTATATTCAAGGATAGATCTTCCCTTGGTGTGGAGATGGATCTTCTCCATGAGGCTGGATTGGCCTGTTTCCTCGGTACTGGAGACTGATGGCCAGTGATGTATATATTTTGGGATGGATCTTCCCTGGGTCGTATGAGAAGTACCGAGTGGTTGAGCAATTATTTATATATATATATATATATATATATATATATATATATACACCTGGAGATGGATCTTCTCCATGGAGCAGAAATGGCCTTTCCTCAGTACTAGGTGACTTATAG